GCAACCGACAGGGCATGCAAATCTCCAATTCTCTTGATAGATGAAATACCAAGGAGAAATAAAGCTTTCAAAGTGAGGAATTTTTCTGAAACCTCTTCAATAGGCTCAAAGGGAGCCAGAGCCAGACCCTCAAGTACAATGGCCAAATCCCAAGCCGGTGCTCTAGAGTGCAGTGCAGGTCTCAACCTCAATGTACCACGGAGAAAACGAGTAATCAGAGGATCTCTCCCAATAGAAGTACCCCCCAGAGGGGTATGATAGGCCGATATAGCCGCCACATAAACTTTTAAAGTGGAAGGAGATAATCCAGCAGAGAAACGATCTTGCAGAAAATCGAGAACTGAACCAACAGGGCAGTTAACAGGATCTAACTGACGCTCACCACACCAGGTGGAGAATAATTTCCATTTCAGTGCATACAGTCTTCTCGTGGAAGGAGCTCTGGATTGGAGAATGGTCTCAACGACCTCAGTCGAGAGACCGGATTTTATGGCCGGGCCCCCTCAGAGGCCGAGCCCACAGTATCCAAACTCCAAATGAGGGTGAACTCCCAGGAGCAAAGATATTGGGAAATGCGTACCGGTGTAGCGTCAACCACACCTAATACATCACATCCAGTCCAAGCGGAGCTGGATGTGTGAGGGAGAACCAAATAGAGCAAAGCGTTGTACAAACGATGTGAAAGGTCGACTTGACTTTAGTTGACCAAAGTTCTCCCTAAGAAGCTCCACCACCTCGGGGTGAAGACTCCAATCCCTGGGCCTCAGCCCCTGCCTCAACAGGATATCTGCTCTGATATACGAGACCATCAGTGTGTTGTCCGCCATTCGCCGAGCGACCACTCATGATCGCCCCCACTTGTGAGGGAAGCATCCGTCGATGGCAATATGCGTCGACAAGAAGCCCCCAACACTGGGCCTGGGCGAGGAACCAAGGTTCTTCCACATGACCGAGGCACGAAGGCATAGCCGCGTGACCTTGATCATGCAAAAACATATTTCCCCTCGGAGAAAACCCCTTGGTCCCGAGCCACCACTGCAGGGGTCTCATGTGCAGAAGGCCAAAAGTAATTACGTTGGACACAGCTGCCATGAGACCCACCAGTCTGAAACTGTTTCACAGTGAGTGACTGGCCTAGATATACCCCAATACGGCTGTGAGAATCGCTACACCTAGAAAAGTGGTCCTCAGAGCACACTCTTCTTGGCGTTGAGAGGCAACCTCAACATCCTTAATGAGACAGAACGACATCTCGATGCCGAACTGCCATAAACTCAGATTGAGCTAGGATCAACCAATCATTGATGTAGTATAATACGCGAATGCCCTGGAGTCTCAGAAGAGCCAGTGCTGCATCCACACATACTGTAAAGGTGTGGGGTAATAAACCTAGGCCGAATGGAAGAACCCGATAATGGTATGCTTCGCCCCCGAAAGCAAACCTCGGGAACCTCCCTCATCCTCTTTCGGAAACAATGAAGTAATGGCTGTCTGCTGGGAGGAGGAACCCCTTCTACAGCTCCTTTTGCAGAAGTGACAGTACTTCCTGCTCCATAACCAAAGCCTGCTCGGGGTCCACCAATGAGAGGAGGACCCCTAGAAATCTGGGCGAACGAGAACCGAACTGAATTCTGAAACCCTTTTCTATAGTGTGCAGGACCCACTGAGAAATATGTGGCAGTAGTTTCCACGCTGCCAGAAATTTACTAGGGGAACCAGTCTCTCAAGACTGGCCTCTGGATTTGTTTGAACAGTCACTACGGCGCCCTGAACGGCGAACCGGCAGGGAACAACCGAACTGACCATTCTACGACCCTCCTCGGAGGATCGTATGGGGATGCTGACACCTTGGTGCCCTGAACGGCGAACCGGCAGGGAACAACCGAACTGGCAGCGCTGCAACCCTCCTCAGAGAGTTTCACCCCAGAGGGCGCAGAGGAAAAACAATTTCTCAAAACCGTCCCTTGGTTGAACAGTCACTACGGTGCCCTGAAGCGGCGAACCGGCAGGGAACAACCGAACTGACCGCTCTACGATCCTCCTCGGAGGGAAACCGAACTGACTGCTCTTCTTTTTTCTTATTTGAAGGCTCGTTTGGGGACACTGACACCTTGGTGCCCTGAAACGGCGAACCGGCAGGGAAAACCGAACTGGCAGTGCTGCGACCCTCCTCAGAGAGTCGCACCCCAAAGGGCGCTGAGAAGAAACGATTTCTCAAAACCGTCCCTACCCCAGAGGGGACCACCCTTAGAAGCCTGATCGCCTAGGCGTCAGGGCTTCTTCTTTGTCAAAGCTATTTTAGAGATAAAACAGTCCTCAGATCTTGCATGTCTTTAACTGGCTAGACTGCGACCGCCACCCAGGTACCGATTCAATTGCGGAGGAGCCCGAATGGCGACGCTCTGTTTTGCACTTTGTGCTGAGAGGAGCTTAATAGGCCGAGACTGCTCCCGCCCAGCAGTCTCAGGAACATTAGATTGGTGAGGAAGAAACCTCTGGAACGCCGCTGAATGGTTTATTTCTTAGTTTTCTTGAAAGCGGAGCGTCCAGAAGAACAGACATAATTATATCTTTATTTTCCTTTATCTTTATATCAGAAAAAACTTATATACATATATATATCACTCTGCGGCCACCAGCAGGAAACAACCGAACTGGCAGCGCTGCGACCCTCCTCAGAGAGTCGCCCCTCACATTCATCCATGTCCTTATATACTTTACCCACCAGCGCTGCCTAATAAAGAATTATTCATTATTTAAGATGGCTGGTGGGTAACGTCGGGGTTAATAACGATGACGCCGACTCGGGAGAGAGAAAGCTCGCAAGCGTCTCTTTAACCCGAGGCACTGTCATACTATGATACTTAATACCCAAACATTAATATTTAGACATCTGGGGATTAAACACATACAATACAAACCGGTTTATTCCACGATCTCGACACCTCAGTGAGGAGATAGGGAAAAAACCGCAGTCCCCGACGAGGAGGCTGAGATACAGAGTTTTCCTGTTTTAAGATAGTTCATCTAACAAACTCTTCTTTATTTTCAATCTCATAATGTTCAGCTGGCCAGTAAATATTTAACTGGCAACAGTTAGATAAAACCTCCTTTTTTTTTCTTTTTTTTTAAAGCTCCTCTTTATTCAGCAGAGTTATGAGCTGACTTATTTATTCATTGAAAACTCAAACATCTGCCTTTTTCTTAAGATTTGTATTTGTTTTGTTCTCTTTCTTTTTAAACAAAACACTAACGATACCAATTCCTCGGAACTGGAAATCGCAGCACACTAGATCTGGCATGTGAAAGCTGAGAAAGGGCGGAGCCCGTCCCAACCCCCGCTGTCAGATCCGTTTGCGAACCCCGAAATGCGAGCCGTCTCTGTGCCTCGGCAACAGAGAGACCCGCGCGGGGAACGCGAACCGAACCGTCCTCCTCGAAGAACGCCCGGCAGGAGCGGAGCGTCCTCACGGACAGCTTCTCGCAATGCTCACAGTCAGCTCCCTCGAGAACTGACTGTTGGCATGCTCCACTCCCAAACAGCAACAAAAAGCTGATGTGTGTCCCCACCCGTGATGTAACGAGGGCAGGGAACAACACAACGTCTATAATCTTGCTTGCTCGCCATAATGATAGATAGTGATATATATTGGGCTTGACAAACAACAATAAATAGACAAGGACAGAAAGCGCTTGCTGAAGACTACAGAAGCAGAAGCGGTCTGTTTTCAAGGGTGCTTTATAGTTTCCTATGGTCTATGACGTCACCTATGACGTATCGGGCTTCCATTGGACTGATTTTACACGTGCTTCATGACGCAATCACGCAGAGCGTTCCCACCGCGTCTCAAACGCAGCTCGAAGTTCCCTTGAAAGGGAATCAGTGTTCTCCTCGGCAAAAATAAAAATAAAAGGCAACTCAGGCTTTGCCACAAGCGAAGATGGAGGAAGAGGTTTTTCAGCCATTAATTCCTCCCCCATAAAAAAACAAAACAAAAAAAACAGGGTTTTGCACCCTATCTTAGATTTACAGCAGATGAACACACTATAGGGCCAATCCCAATTCTACCCCTTACCCCTTCACTTTCCCCTTCCCCTCCGTTTTCCACGTGCACGTGAAGGGGTAGGGCTGTCCCAATTCTCTTTTGAGGGAATAGCCCATATAGCCCTTCAAATGAAGATTTTTCGGGACCACACTTCAAACGAAGGGGTATGAGAAGTGTCACTGCATACACCGGCTACAGACGCAAAATGGCTGCCCAAGCGAAAAAGGAGACTCATAAATGTAAGTATTTTTGGCTTTAATAAGTATTTTAACGACAAATAATGATTTGCTTTATGTTACATTCAATATTGTGTTCATATTTACGGTCAGTTTCTTCACAGAAACGTTTGTAAAAAAATCGCTAAAATTACTATAGTTTGCTAACGATAGTCCCGCAACATATTTTAATGTCTGACAACTGGTGAATGTAATTGCTGAAGGGAATTGGCTTATATTTTACCGTACATCTGCTATGAACGCATTATTTTCTTTTGTTTAACTTATATGTGAACACGACAACAGTGCTTACAGTTTCGCGCTCTTTGCAACATGATCAGATCAACCAGTCTTGTATGGTCTTTATCAAACAGGGACACCTGAGGAAACACGGAGGATCATTCGCTTTCGAGCTGAAAATGAGTAACGTTTTCTGAAGTCCAAATACAGGGCAAAACAACTTTGGGAGTGAGTAATCTGTTAAACGTTACTGTGCTTGCGTCTGACTTGTTAGATATAATTTGCACCACACACTATTTATAGGCCTAAATTTGTTTATTTAACACACATATACTTCTTATTGCATTTCCTTGCGTTTGTACCTGTACATATACCGTTTAATTATCTAACTTATGCCTTGTTACTCATTCTGTTTGTGCTGTGGAAGCTTCTGCCACCAAAACACATTAATTCTATGTGGCAATAAAGCTCTTTCTGATTCTAATTCATTACTGTTTATTTGGAAGGAAAGCTGAATGGCCAACAAGCAGCCAAGAAGTGGGAGAATCTGAAGAGAAAATATAAGGTAAGCAACGTGGTGTTATGAAAATCTTTAACAATCTCAAGACTAGTCATTTATTTTCTCAACATGTTTATATTTATCCTTGTTAAATGAACACACTCATTTTAGCAGGAGAAGCTGTCATTTCTTTCAATATGTATTTGTCACTTTCATTTAATTACTAATGTAAAACAGGTAGTGAAATGAAAGGAGTAATTATAAAGATTATATAATTATGAGTATTATAATTATGAATATTATCTCCCTCTAGGACCTAAAAACACCTAAAACTGGTTCAGGGACAGATGCAGGAGAGGCAACAGCTGCTACGTGGCAGTACTATGAGGATATGCACGAGGTGCTGGGTGCCAGGCCTTCAGTGGACCTGTGGTTGTTGCATCATTCAATGATGAGGATCCAGTAACAATCCTCATGGTAAGGTTTTAATTGTTGATATACTTCACATGAAATATTACCCATTTCTGTATTGTAATTACTTCTGTATTGTCTCGTTCTCTTAGGAGATTGTTGAGCCCAGTACTGCATCCAACACCATAGGAGCCTCCTCACCTTTGCCAAATACAGGAGCCACAGCCTCTCCCAGTGCAGCATCCTCCATGGCCACACCAAGCCCGTTAACTCCTTCACCCAGGAAAAGAAAGCGGCAAACTAATCCAATTTTAGAATTTTTAATTGAGGAGTCCCGTGAGGAGCAGAAACGCCACAAGGAGAGTGAGGCCAAGACTGAGAGGTTCTTGTGTCTCTTTGAAAAATTGATAGACAAAATGTAGTTGTCTTTCATGTGCTGTTCAATTTTGCACAAATGTTTTTTGTTTTATATGCCGTTCAATTTTGCACAAATGTTTTTGTTTTATAGTCTGTTCAATTTTGCACAAATGTTTTATATGCCGTTCAATTTTGCACAAATGTTTTTGTTTTATAGTCTGTTCAATTTTGCACAAATGTTTTATATGCTGTTCAATTTTGCACAATGTTTTTGTTTTATATGCTGTTCTGTATTCATCTGTATTATCTATTTCTATATATATTTCTAATAATAAAATAAAAATGTTTCTTAAAAAAGGTGTTCCCTTTCGTAGTCACTCCGAGTTACGTCGGATGACGGAGAATGGGGGTTTCGCCAGAAGCCTATCATCTTCGAGTATTAAAAAACGAGCCTATGGCAATGAAATGCCATGGGTCTGCGGAATTTGCATAATGTATCTCCGCCCCACCGCGTGGGTATTTAAGGAGAGACACCTGCAACAGCAGATCATGTTTTCGCTTCGGAGCCAAGAGCATCTCTTCACTCCACAAGCCAAAACCTGAGTTTTCTCAGTGACTACATCTCTTCGAGACGAGCGAACTCTCCGGTGTTGGTGTGACGGCGGTATCCAGCGAGTTTCACATTGCCTGCGAGCTGAGCAGTGGTCTGCCAGTCTGTGTGTTCTCCCTGGTCGCTTCAACATCCGCGGAGTTTTTCCTCTCACTAAAGAGCTGCACGCGGCACGTCTTTTTAAAGACGCGTCTTTCTAAAGACGATCTGCCCGTGTTTTTCTGAGTGTGGTATTCTGATAGATTCAGCTGATGGGCGCGAGCGCTGTTTTGAGTGTTTGGGCTTTGATCGCGCTCAGACAGCGCTCGTGGGTGTGTCACGTTCTCTCACTGGGAACGTGACCATCGCAATGTAACGGTCGAGACTCGATGAGCTCAATGAGTGAGAGTCCCCTCATCCACACCCCGATCTATTTTTCTCCACGTGAGATAATACTTCGGCTGGTGGCCAGGGTGACCTAAGACGGCAGGTTTGGAACTAAACCGACGAAAAATTCCTCGGTCCACACCCCGTCTTTCACATTGCAACCTGCGTGGTCCCAGGTGAGTTCGCCGGCCCGCTCGCGGGCCCGCGGTCTCATTCGGTCCCCCAGCTGATGAACTCATGTATCACCGCATCACAAGGTGAGCTGGAGTCCTCTAGAGATGATGGCTCGTCTGTGCTGCCGTCCTCGGATGTGCTAGCATAACGAGTTTGATCCAGAGTGCACAGCTATGCTTCCCGGGCTGCCGCGAGTATCGGGCTTGTGTGGAACCTTCTGCCATGTCCCGAGCACTTAAGGCTGTTGATTGGTTTTTGGGGGTGGCGAACCCAAATCCTTTCTACCCGGACGTGCATGAAGAGATCATGAGATCGTGGAAGTCTCCTTGACTTTTCACGACTGCTCAGTGGCCTCTTCCGCCTTCTCTGCCCTCGTAGAGGCCGCGGCCTAGGGTGCACTGGGGTTCCCCCTGTGGAGTGTTCTGTGGCAACACTTATGTGTCCCCACAGCGCCTCCACCTAGGGTGGCGACTCTTAAGCACCCCTCCAATGGTTGTAGGTTCTTGTCTACTCCGGTGGCGGGGACCTATAGAGCTGCGGGGCAGGCTGCCACCTCACTGCGTGTTATTGCCATCCTCCTGGGTGTTCAATGACATGCACGAGGGTAGGGCTGATTCAGGGCTCATCCTTGAGCTGCCTGCCGTCACCGACCTTGCTCTCCGAGCGACGTAGGTGACCGCACGCTCCCTGAGTCAGATGATGTCCACATAGGTGGTCAGACACCTCTGGCTAACCTGGTTGATGTGCGCGAGGCTGAGTGATTTCGTTTCCTCAACTCCCCCATATCCCAGGCTGGCCTCTTCGGCGGCGCGGTCGAGGACTCTGCCCAACAGTTCTCGGCCGCCCAGAAGTGGACTGTGGCTATTTTGTCTGACCCCGCGGCTTTGCTGCCTCCAGCTGCCGGCTCAGACGCCTCAGTCCGCTTGCTGCCGAATGCGCCCTCCTGCGACTTCCGCCCCCTCCCGCCCGGCCCCCAGCAGCACCGGGCCGCGCCGTGGAGGTGGTCGCAGGAAGGCGCCCCTGCCCGTACCGGTCCCGCAGCCCCGCCAAGGCCAGGCTTGCGGTGCTCCCGTTACGGGCAGCTCAGATGTGGGTTGCAGTTCTTCAGGGAGTGGTTGCAGGGCCACTCCTTCCCCCGGTGGAGGGCTGGGGGAGAATCTTTTCTAAACCAAAGAGCTGCATCCCATCTCTGAGCCCTCAGAGGGCCGGATGACAGTGCGCGACGCTCCCGGGCCTTGCCGCTCTCGTCCCCCTCTGTCTCTGAGGGCGCGGATGACAGTGTGTGCCGTCTCCGGACCACAGCACTCTCGTCCCCCTCTGTCGCCAGACCCCTGGCAGAGCAGACCCCCGTGGAACGCTGGTCCTTCCCTGGTCTCCTCAGTCAGGACGCGGAGCATGACCGTGCCCCCGCAACGGGCCGCTATGTCACCCACGCCTGGGCCGGTCACTCCGCTTCGCTGCCCCTCCGGGGGGACGTCTGTCGTTCGGATGTTTCCGCTGGTTCAGTTCTTGGGAGCTTGGTTAGAGCTTCCCTACCTGTCCCGCTGGGTCGCCCAAACTATCAGGCTCGGCTATGCGATCCAATTCGCACGGTCTCCTCCCCGCTTCAGGGGAGTCCGTTTACTTTGGTCGGTGGCAATGCCCCGATCATGAGAGCGGAGGTTGCCACCCTGCTGGCGAAGGGTGCAATCGAGACTGTCCCTCCAGCCGAAATGAGGTCAGGGTTTTACAGCCCGTACTTCATTGTCCCCAAGAAGACCGGTGGGTTACGGCCCATCCTGGATCTGCGCGTCTTGAGCCGCTCCCTTCACAGGCTGCCGTTCAGGATGCTCACGACCAAACGTATTTTCGAATGCGTGCGGCCACAGGGTTGGTTTGCAGCGATAGACCTGAAGGACGCCTACTTTCATGTCTCCATTTTACCTCGACACAGACCGTTTCTTCGGTTTGCTTTCGAGGGGCAGGCATACCAGTACGCAGTTCTCCCATTCGGGTTGGCTCTGTCTCCTCGCGTCTTTACGAAGGTCGTCGAGGCAGCCCTTGTTCCCCTGCGCGAACACGGGGTTCGCATCCTGATTTACCTTGACGACTGGCTAATATTAGCTCACTCTCGAGTCCAGGTTTGCGAACACAGAGACCTAGTGCTCCGGCACCTAGCCCGTCTGGGCCTTCGGGTCAACTGGGAGAAGAGCAAACTTTGCCCCGTGCAGAGGATCTCTTTTCTCGGTATGGAGATAGACTCGGTCGCCATGTCCGCGCAGCTTGCGAGCGAGCGCGCACACTCACTGCTGACTTGTCTTCGACAGTTCGAGGGCAAGAGTGCGGTCCCACTGAAACTTTTTCAGAGGCTCCTGGGGCATATGGCATCCGCAGCCGCGGCAACGCCACTCGGATTGCTTCATATGAGACCGCTTCAGCTGTGGCTTCGCGATCAGGTCCCGAGGTGGGCATGGCATCGCGGTACGCTCAGAGTTCCAATAACTCCGACCTGCCGTCAGTCCTTCACCCCGTGGCGGAACCTCAGCTTTCTACGGGCCGGAGTTCCCCTAGAATGAGTTTCCAGGCATGTTGTTGTCTCCACAGATGCCTCTGCCACGGGCTGGGGCGCCATGTGCAATGGACATGCAGCTGCGGGCTCCTGGACAGGACCCCAGCGCCTCATGCATGTCAATTGCCTCGAGTTGCTGGCAGTACGCCTTGCCCTGCACCGCTTCCACGCGCTGCTCCAGGGTCAACACGTACTTGTCCGTTCGGACAATACCGCGACAGTAGCGTACATCAACCATCAGGGTGGTCTACGCTCTCGCCGTATGTCGCAACTCGCACGCCACCTCCTCTTATGGAGTCAGAAGCACCTGAGGTCCCTTCGTGCTATTTACATTCCAGGAGTGCGGAACCTTGCAGCCGACGAGCTGTCACGGCTCCGGCCAACCTCTGGCGAATGGCGACTCCATCCCCAGTCGGTCCAGCTGATATGGGACCAGTTCAGGGACGCACAGATAGATCTGTTTGCCTCCCATGACTCATCCCATTGCGCCCTGTATTACTCCCTGACCGAGGGCACGCTCGGCACGGATGCACTGGCGCACAGCTGGCCGCAGGGCCTACGCAAGTATGCGTTTCCCCCAGTGAGCCTTCTCGCACGTACTCTGTGCAAGATCAAGGAGGACGAGGAGCAGGTCATTTTGGTCGCCCCATACTGGCCCACCAAGACCTGGTTCTCCGAACTGATACTCCTCGCGACAGCACCTCCTTGGCCAATTCCTCTGAGGAAGGACCTCCTTTCTCAGAGACGGGGCACCCTATGGCACCCTCGTCCCGATCTGTGGAGACTCCACGTGTGGCTCCTGGACGGGACGAGGCAGGTTTGAGTACCCTGCCACCAGCGGTGGCAGCTACCATCACTTCCGCTAGAGCATCGTCCACGAGACATGTCTATGCGTTGAAGTGGAACCTCTTCGTCAACTGGTGCTCTTCTCGCCGAGAAGACCCCAGGAGATGCTCGGTCATTGTCGTGCTTTCCTTCCTGCAAGACGGGTTGGAGCGAAGGCTGTCTCCCTCCACCCTGAAGGTGTATGTGGCCGCTATCGCCGCACTAGCCAGCAGCGCTAGCTTCATAGTTCCTGATATTAAGAGGCAAGCACTAAATATTATGTTTAAATATGTATTTTTTTTCTCTCCAGGCAGGTGACAAGGTAGATGCAGCAGGGCCTAGGGTCTTACCTGA